GACCCATTTTCTCTACAGAGAGAGGTAACCAAGCTCCATGGCCACATACATATTTGTAATGGCTGTTTGTCCAGGACAATGAGCAAGAAGTCAGGTTATGACAGACAGGACTAAGATGGAGGGTCCGACTTTGAGTCACCTCCTAGCTCCGTGTTCACACTATCCTTACTGAGTCATTTAACCCCTCCAGGTCTGTTCTTCCCGCACTACTGCAGACTTTCCTAAGGTACACTGACGCTCTAAAGACACATACATAGATTAAGAACATCAAGAAAGGGTGGTGGCGCACACCTTTAATCCCAGTGCTTGGGAGGAAGAGGCAGGCGGATCTCTGTGAGTAGGAGGCCAGCCTGGTCTACACAGGGAGTTCCAAGACAGCCAAGGCTACACAGTGAGCACCCCTGAGCACCAACAAACACTGAAATGATGTCTGCTGGGTTTTAGTCGGTATGGCAAAGGACGATCACAGCTTGACTATTGCCAGACTAAATAAACAAAGAATACTACTACCACCATACCCCCAGGAATTGAGGAACTCTGCCTGCTTACTGACCTTGTCATTGCAAGCCTACTGTTCTCAGGGCAGAGAGTTAGGGGCACCAGAAGTAAGGCACACGGCAACCAAGAGCTGCACTGGCCATTCCTTCCTTTAGCAGAACAAGTATGTCTGCATGGTTAGGATAAAAGAAAACACAGCCTAAACTTTCATCTAAAATTTGGTGACATTAAGAATATTTGCTTATATCAACATATAATGCAAAATTATAAAATGTATTTTGTAGAGCTGGCAACTGAGTAAGGGCTTTCTACATGCTAGACAAGCCCCCCGTCACTGAGCTCCATAAATTATAACATGACAATATCCTATAATATACTGTTTTGCAGTGTTAAGCTGATATTCAATAAACAGCTGGTTTACACACGTTGTCATGTAGAAGGTCAGAGATTCTGAGCAGAGTTCACTTATGCAATACAATCTTACTCTACAATCTCAGGGAGATCCCAGAATCCTAAAGTAGGGCCTAAGTAAGTTTCAAGGCTCCAACTTACAATTTTTCTTTTTTTGAGACAGTGTCCCTCCATACAGTCCATACAGTCCACATGCTGTCTTGGAACTCATGAGATCCACCTGCTTCTGCCTCCCCGAGTGCTGAGATTAAAGGCATGCACAACCACAAGTGGCCAACAACTTAAAAAGTCTATTAAGGAGCAGCTGGACAATTTCCAGAAGCCAGTATGCTGTGTTAGTTGTGGTGGTCAAGCAGCCAGTTGCTTACTGGGGGAAAACCTGGTTTAAGTGAGTTGCATTAATCACCACTCACTCCGATGCCAACTGCCTGAGGTGCCACAGCAACTCTTTACTGAAACTTCTCAAGGACCATCCTCAGATGGGAACTTAACTCAGCGCCCGCCACCTTGGGCTGTCTTCACCCCTTAGGGGGTGAATGCTCATAGAAAAATGTGGCACAAGCCAAAACACATATGGCAGACAAATGCCTACAAAGCACACACCCATTACAACTGGCTGCACTTTAATACAACATTATAATACAGAATGTCCTCAGGAAAAGCTGTATGTGTAAATTTTGAATTGATCTAAAAGGTAAACAAGATAAAGCAAGAAAAGCCAAGCTTTTGATCTGTTCTTGGCTTAGCTGTTTAGAGCATAATGGTGCTCAGACTCTGTATCATCAATTCCTACGCAGAAGAAAGGTCTAGCTAGATACGGGCCACCACAGATGTGACAGACCCAAGGTACCAGTCAGCCCAAACCAGATTATTTTAAGTATTTCAGTAAGGTTGCTATAGGAAAGCAAAATGTTACTGAGAAATCTGTCTGGTTTTTATCCAGGGCGGAAGCTCAAGGGGACTCATTGATGAGCCCCTCTTCTGTTGGACTTGGGCACTCATGTTTCCTCTATAATCACCCTGGCAGGAGTGAAAATATTCAGTTTTCTCTTTTTTTCTTTTTCTCCCCCCGCCCCCTTTTCTTTTGTAGTATGGGGGACTGAAGCCAGGGCCTCCACATGCTAGGCAAATGTTTGGTCATTAAGCTATATCCATTCATTAAGTTTTGGGTGGGTGGGGCTGGAGACAGGGTATCATATAGCTCAGCTATCCCCAAAATCACTCTTAACTTCTGATCCTCGTCTCTACCCCTAAATTCTATGATCAGAGGCATGCATCACCATACTGAGTTTTGTTTGTTTGTTTGTTTGTTCTGAGACAGGGTTTCTCTGTTTTACAGACCTGGCTGTCCTAGAACTCACTCTGTAGAACAGGCTGGCCTTGAACTCACAGAGATCCACCTGCTTCTGCCTCCCAAGTGCTGGGATTAAAGGCGTGAGCCACCACTGCCTCGCTCATACTGATGTTTTCCACCCTGCTGGAGATTAATACCAGGGCTTCCTGCATTCTAGGCAAGCAACAAGGCTACAGCCCAGCAACAAGGACATTCTAAAGAGAGGCAGGCACTGCACCTCGCCCCTTAGCTATCTGACTATTGAAACAAAGGACCCAAGGAAGTGAACTCCCCTCAAAAGTCTCATACTGGGAAAGAAAAGGCCAGGTTCCTTGTGCCAGCAAAGGGAGACTGTATTCCCCAAAGAGATTGCAGAGTGCTGACAGCTTGCAACATCAACCAGGAACCAAGACAATGAGGGCACTGAAGTTGGGCTGGCCCCAACTTGAGCAGGACCTGTGAGCTGTGTGTGTGCCTCTAGGCTGCTCCTTAAAACTAAACCTCACATCAGAGCTCCAAAGATGGGAGTTTGGGGGGATTGTTGCCCCCCCCTTGTTTGTTCCATGTCCTGGTATGGCTAGGGAGAACAACTTTTCCCTGTGGTGGTTTGAATAAGAATGGTCTCCATAGGCTCATAGATTTAAATGCTTAGGTAGTGGTACTATTTGAAAGGAATAGGATGTGTGGACTTGTTGGAGGAAGTGTGTCATGGGGGGGAGGGGTTTGAGGAAAGCCCGTGCCAGACCCAGGCACTCTCTGACAGCTGCCTGTGGATGAGGATGTAGAACTCTCAGCTACTTCTCCAGCACCATGTCTAACTGCTGCGGTGCGGTGCTCCCCACCATAAGATAACGGACTTAACCTCTGAAACTGTAAGCAAGCCCCAACTAAATTCTTTTTTATTATAAATAAAAGTTGCCGTGGTCATAGTGTCTCCTTGAATGACAGAATATTGACTAAGAAAGAAATTGGTACCAGGGTATTACTGTGACAGGCCTCACCAGGCTGTTTGTTGGAGGAATATGGGAAGACTCTGGACTAAAATAAAACAATTGAATGCTTTAAGTGGGACCTAATGGGCCATCCCTATTATGAGTGTAAAAGATAGTGCCGAGGGTGATTTGAACTGTGGGGACCCAGCTCCAGCTCAAGGTTTCAGGAGAAGAATATTAGTAAATGGCCTAAAGACCATTCTTAAAGGTATTTTGGCAAAGAATGTGGCAACTTCTTTTACTAAAAAAAACTGCCTGAAGCTAAATTGAAAAGTGTGGGATTAATGGCACTGGCAAGAGACTTCAAGAAAGCCAAGTATTTGTTGTGGTATGTGGTTATTAGTAGGTATGTGGTTATTAGTAGTCACTCTTACGCAGACCTACAATGAAAAGGAACAAGTTGGACAAGAGAAATGTGCAGAATGTCCAGTCTGAGGAGAAAGGAGCATCAGGAAGTGTAACAGACCTAAGTCCAATGCTCAAGGAAATAAAACGTTTAAAGAAACCCTGGCACTAAATGAAAAAAAGGGAGTGGTGACCTCAAGGCAAAACCCCAACCCAGCTAAGCTTCAAGTTTATGAGAAGGAATTAAAGAAAACCTTAAGCCATCAACAATGGAAAGCTGATGCAAGTATAATAGAAAGAGGAAGCCATGTTCCAGCCCAAACAAGCAGCAGAACTTGGCAGCCTTGGCCATGTGGCTTTGGCTTTAGAAACAAGGATATAAGAAAGGGGTTGTAAAATTTCTCTCCAAGGGCTAAAGGAAGCCTTGAGGCTAGGCAGATTGTCATGGGTGTCCCTGCATGGAAACCCAGAGAGGCCATTGTGTGAAGCTGTGAAGGTGAAGCCTGGATTGTCCTGGAGATGGCGAGTCTGTGTACCTGCAGACTGGGTGGGGAATCAGCTCAGGAGAGATAAGTGTGTTGCAGTCAACAAAGATGAAATGAGCTGGAGATCTAAAGAGCGCTTTGGCATCAGACATGGAGATGCAGAGTTTAGGGTTTGCCCGGCGGGTTTTAGGTCTTGCTTTGGCCCAGTATTTCCTCACTCTGCTCCCTTTCCAAATAAGATATTGTGTACCACTGTATTATAAGTGTGTGATCTGCTTTTTGGTTGACTTTACATGGGGTCATAATAGGCAATTGCCTCAAAGTTGGACTGAACTCATTTTTGCATTATGATATGACTAAAAGCCTATTTGAAGGCAGAGAGTGGAAGTGATAAGCTGAATGAGAATGGCCCCCATTGGCTCATTGACCAAATGCTCAGTCACCAGGCAGTGGAGCCTTTTTGAAGGATTAGGAGGTGTGACCTTTTGGAGGAAGTGTATCACTGGGGGGGGGGGGGGGTAAACTTTGAGGTCTCAAAAGCCCATGCCAGGCCCAGCCAATCTACCTGCTGCCTGCAGTTCAGGATACAGCTCTCAGCTACTGCTCCAGCACTGTGTGGGCCACCATGCCCCCAACAAGGTGATAATGAAACCTATGACATGTAGGTAAGCCCCCCACCCCCAGTTGCCATGGTCATGGCATCTCATCACAGCAGCAGAACAATAACTAAGACTCTGTGTCACTATTACTTGTCTCTTTAATGGCAAGTGGGAGACAAGAGGCTGGCATAGCTTGGCAGCTCAGGCGTTGACACTAACAACTCCAGTAACACTGGCACATGACTTTTGATCTACCGGGAGTCTACTATTTCCTATTACCTAAGGAAAAGCCCACACTCAGAGCAATGCATGCTTACAATGAGAGCAAAGCACTTACGTTCAAAGCGTTCTTTGCGGCCTCAGCTTCTGAACGACTGTCGAAACTGACAAAACCTACAGGCTGAGGGAGAGAGAGAGAAACATCAAGAAAAAGAAACCAAAAACCAAGGGGCAGCTCTTCTCTAGGTCAAGGGTGGTGTCTAACTCAGGAGCTAAGATAAAGAAATGACCACAGGCAATGGGAAGAAATAAGAAAGCCAATCCCAAAGAATCAGGACCTAGTGGCTCAACCAAATTTCTCACGTGAATCAAAGGGATGGTGAGGGCAGTTCTTCAAGGACACAGCCAAGAATTTAGGAAAAAAAAATCAGAGGTGGCTGGAGGGTGAGCAGCAGTGACCAGGGGACAGAGGGAGATCTGGGTTGGAGAGACTCTAGTTGCCTAAATCAAATTCACTGTACCTCAGCTTCTTCGTCTTTTAAAATGCAAAGAGATAACCGAATCACCTTTTGGTTCACTGTAAGTGCAAGGAATATAATGACACAATGGTAAAAAAAAAAAAAAAAAAAAAAGTTTTCACTGTGCAACCAAAACTACCAAACAAACCTTTCCATCACAGCCAAAGCCGTGCCTGTCAAAACAGTTGGGAATTACTCTGGCATGGAAGGACGCTGCTCAAAGAAAAGGGCCCCTCCCTTAGATCTTTCCATGTGCAGGCTACCTGCAATTTAGTTCATTTCTGACACAGAAGAGGTAGTGACTCAGAAGTGTTCAGCTTCAAAGGTAAGAAATGTTTGGGCAACCTCTACGAAACTGCAGGGCCATCAACGGCTACCTCTAGCCTGTACTTTCTACATTTCACTCTACACCTGTGATTCGTGATTCCTTATCATATCTACAAATATCCCATGAAAAGAACTACTCAATAATTGTGAGTAGAGCTGGAGAGATGGCTCAGCAGTTAAGAACACTGACTGCTCTTCCCAAAGACCTGGGTTTGATTCCCAGCACCAACATTATGGCTCACAACTGTCTGTAACTCTAGTTATAGGGGCCTAAGGCCTTCTTCTGGCCTCTATGGACATTGGATAAAGAGACATAGCATAGGGGCATGCAAAACATCTATGTATACATAAAGGAAATAATAAAACTTCAAAAAATATGACTAAGAATCTGGATAATACAATTTGCTTATTGAAGAAACAAATTAGTTTCAATGTAAGTCTCCTGGAGGCACTGTTTGTACCTTCTGAATCTCAAAAACTTTTTATCTGGGGACTATGGAACTCTATACCATTTTCCTATACTAATTCCCAATCGACTTCATCAATTTTGATAACACACAGGTCAAATCCTAGCTGAAACAAAAGAATATTTATTAGGCTTCACTAGCAAAAGGTGATCCTTTTTAGGAGTTCTAAATTCTTACCTGTTTAGATGTGAGCTTTATAAGAGAACCTTCATAGCCCTGAAAAAATAAAGAGCAAGTTTAGAAGGAAGGAAGAGAGCATTACAAGTCGACTTTCCTCAAGTAAAATGAGTCACTTAAGACAAGGACTATCAACTATGTTGCACTTCTCAATGTCTCCAAAGTTAGCTGGGGACACATAGACACAGACATAAGGCACACAGGGTAGCCCAACATACACAAAAGCCTTGGATTTAGCCCCCAATATTGCAAAACAAACCAAAACAAAACAGATAGCCATATGAAAACTACCAGGAAGGGTGAGCAGGAGACATACAGCATTCTGCAGATCTCTGCTTGCTTACTCAGTGAGGCAATTTCCATGGTGGAATCTGATAAGAACATGAAACATTCCCCTGTGTTTCTATTCCAGCTCATCTGCAGGAGTTGAAGGCATTCCTGTCTTTCTCTAGCTTACCTACCTCTGCACACAACAATACTGGCAGCGCACTGACAGGTGACACAAGGAAGAGGAAACACACCAAGAGACATGAGCAACCGCTAAACATATCGGTATAGGGACAGATCTGCAGACCAGGGCCAGCTGCCCTGGGCTGAAATTAAAGGAGGTTGCTAGGGATGTCCCAAGGTCCTGATTTCAGCATTGGGTTTTTTGACAGGGTAAAGGGATTGATTCATCCATACCTCTTCTGAGCAGAAAACTGAGTTACCAACTGGCTAATGTAGACATTTCCATCCAAGGCCTTCAGCCAGCACTGCCTCTTCCTACTCTACAAGGGGCACTTTCTCTTAGAAATCCAAGAGGGTTAAAACCTTGACAGTCTCAGATGCAAAGGACAAATGCTATTCACTCAGGTAAAAGCAGCACTGCCTGGGTCATACCATGTTGAGATCACAAAAAAACAGGAATCAAATGTCACTGCTGTCACTGCTACTGGTGCATTATGGGAATGGCCATCTCCCCACACTCACACAGTCCCTTCCTGGCAAATCAACTATCCTCGCATCTTTGGGGGTTGTATCTAGCTCTCTCCTGAATCTTTCTCCTTCCCAACCCTCGGGCTCTCCATCGCCACATCTCTACCAAGCTGAATCCTGTCTCTCAGTTGTTTTCAATCAGGTTAATCTTGGATCCCCCATCTCTTAACCGTCTCTACCAGGCTTCAGTAATCTTCCTACTGATAACATAACCTCCCTTAACCCACAGGTCCTAAATTCATGATTCCATTTTGGGGTAGGGTGTGATGCTGGGACCAAAAAAAAAAAAAAAAAAAAAAAAAATCAAACCCAGGGCCTTATACACATTAGCTAAGTGTTCTACCGGACAGCTAGAATATTCCACTCTGGAACTCTTCTCTTCTGCTCTGCCTCTAGCTGAAGCTTCTGAAGCTTACTAAAGTTCATCTACATGGAATAGAGAATACTGGGGCCACTTGCCTCTGCACAGCAGTGAGAAGGAGTCTGCTCTGAATTCACTGTCAGAGACCAAAGGACAATGCCACACTAGTGTCCCAATGAGACTGTATGCCAGAAATCTGATGTTAACTGCATTTTGCCAAGATTGTTACAGGCACTGGCTCCAGCATCACCCCCCTCTAAAAGCCACAACAAGACATTTGTAACGTACCTTGAATGGTCTGAAGAGCAGGTACAGCTCCCGGGGTTTGATGTCCAGGGGCAGACCACTGACAAATAGGGTCCGGACCTAGAAAATAAAGTGACAGGTTAGGAAGGGTGTGGGAAACCCAGAGGCCAGTCCTCATCATACATCAACGGGTCCAGGACTCCTCTAACAATGTTCTATGACAAGATGAACTGCCCCCCCATAAGTTTAATATTAGTTCAAAGTTTTCTACTCTAACCATAGCAGTATGGCAGGTTTGAAAAGAAAAAAGGTAAAAATCTTTGGTTTCTCTTGCTTTGGTCTCTTCTCACTCTGTCCCGTGTCCCTCAATGATGTTAATTGTCATTATTCTAATAAGCACAGAAGTACTAAGATTGTACCTAGCGCCTCCGCAGGAGCCAGCAGGCCCCGCTCTGCTCCTCTCACTGACTGCCGTTCCTCTGTGTTCTGTGACACAACCAGCACATACACCATCAAAGCACCCACTAGGGTGCCAATGACAGAAGTCATCAGGACATGTGTGTAAACATACACAGTGGCACACACTGAGCACCACTATGTGTCTGATGTCTCCTAAGGTATATAACACTGACACCGGGCTTCTAGCTAAACCAGAGAAAGCAAGTTACCACTGGAACTAGAACCTAAAAGAATTGGTATGATTTTACCAGAGAGAGAGAGATGGGGGTGAGATGGGGGTAGGAAGTGCAGGGCCGCAGAGTGTATTTTACAGGCAGGGTGGGCCAGACCACACAAGGAACCTAGGGTCACACCATAGGACACACATTTCAAGCCTCCTGGCTTACCCCAATCTGGAATAAGCATTGACTAGCTCCCAGTTCTCATTTCCTCCACTCAGACTGATATAACACCACTGCATGCCTCATTAAGACATTGTGTACAATCATTAACCATCCATAAATGACAGAGAGGGAGAAGATACGCTAGATTTCTAACACTTTCCATGGTTGTTATGTACAGAACCAAAAATCAATATGGTCTTTTTATTGGTCCGGCACAGTATGAGGTCAGGCCATTTGTTTGCATGTTCACACGTGCTGTAGTTACATAGCAATCTCAGAATCCTGACTGGTTTCTTTAAGTTTGTTTTAAATATCTATGTTGTGTGTCTTGAAAATGTAGGATTTGTGTATGCACACAGACATGTAAAATCATCACAACTGAGACAATCCATCACCTTTATGGTTTCCTCATGCCTCCCCCTACCCTTTTAGAAACAGTATCTCCATACACAGACCAGGTAGAACTTGAACTCACAATCTTTCATCCTCAGCTTCCCTAGTACTGACCAGCATTACTGGTGTGTGCCACCATCCCTGACATCATATACTCCTCTAATCCTTCCAGCCCTGTCCCACCAACCCTGCTAGGATTGCTGATCAGCATGTATTAATGTGTATCCCAAAGTCGAAACAGAACCACAGAATAGAAATTTGTCTCAATTCACTCATATTAACACAAAGTTAATTTTATGCATATTGTTAAAGTCTATCAATTTTTACTGAGTAGTATTCTGTTATATGGATGGACCAATCCAAGAACTTGTTGATACGAATAGCAAGCTATGGTTTGACTTAAAACAAAATCAATCTCTCCTCCACCCCTTGTTTTGGCTTGCAAATATTCTCTGGGCTCTTTAAACAATGTGTGTTTTGCTGTTGCTGGATGGAGTAGTCTAGAACTGGGTCAAGTTTGTTGACCAAACTTCTTATATGTTTCTCATTTCTTCTTTCATCTTTGCCACAAAGAAAGTTCCCGAGGAAAAGATTAGAAAAGGTTAAATTACTGACAAACACATGAAGAACTCTACTATTCACTATGCCCACCTGCCTTCTCACCGGGCAGAAACTGAACAGCAATTTGGGCCATTCTGACCAGGATAACCTGGGACATGGAATTAATCCATCGCATCCCTAACTCATGCTGAGTATCAACTGGGTTGAAGATTTGGACGGGAAAAGTATGATTTACAGACCATTTTTTTTTACAGTTACATCATTTTCCCAGCAGGCCATTGTGCTGTGGTATCTATTGGTCATATTTGAGGACTCACCCAGGCAAATAACTAACATTTCTACTACTGTTCTAAAGAAAGAGGTTTATAGACTTGCTAGGCAATTTGCCAACAGAACTCACTAGATACCAGGGGATTAGGAACAAAAGGCAACTTAATATAGTTCAGGGTTATCTGTAACATAATAGATTATACCACCAATAAAAAAAATAAGTGTGAAAATGGAGTGACAAAGTGGCTCTGAGAGGAAAGGCACTTGCCACCATGCCTAGCCACCAAGTGTGTTCTGGAAGAACCACTCCCACATGTCCTCTGTCACATCATATGATCACACATATGTAAGTGAAATAGAAAAAAAGTGAAGTATGTGCAAGGAAAAATAATTAGACAGGGAAACCATCTTTTAGAATATAGATGCCAGTGTCTATAAAATCAGCTGAGATTTACAACAGCTTTTGTCTTTTTCTCATTCTATGATAACAGTCCATTAGCACGTTGTTATATATGAAGGTGTTTGCAGTTTTTAAGACATGGTTTCATGTAGTCCAGGCTGGCTTTAATTTGCTATGCAGCCAAGGATGACCCTGAATGATCCCGGTGCATCCACCCCTAAAGTGCTGGGATTACGGACAAATCCTATAGTATGCCTGGATAAAACACTTCAGGTTTTTGTTAAGCTGAGATTTGCCTTGATGTATTACCTGGATTGTCTTAAGAAATTAGAAAAGGTCAATATTTGTATTAACACAAATTTCATGTTTATGGAGGAAGCCTTAGGTAAGTATTCTAGACTGAGATGTGAAAGATCTTTGTTTTAATGTTCAGTAAGAAATTGCTATATATAGGAGAGGGGAAAAAAATCCAACTCTTGGTGTAACGAGTATGGTTTTTCCGCCTGCTGTCCGGTCTTGTCCTGCTACCACGCCACCAGCCCCAAATAACACACAGAGACTCTGTATTTGATACAATACTGTTGGCCCGGTTACTTGTTACTTATCGGCTAGCTCTGCCTTTAATTATTAACCCATTTCTATGTATCTTCACATGGCCTTCTCTTACCGGGGAGGCGGCTGGCGTCCAGCTCTCTCCAGACTCTCCATCTTGGCTCCTCCTTACTACTTCCTATTTCCTCCTTGTCTCCTAGTCCCTCCTATCTTCCTTTCCTATTGGCCAACAGTGCTTTATTATTAACCAGTATGAGAAACATATACAGAATGACCTCACCCATCATCTCTTCTTTTTTGTCTAAATAAAAAGAAGGGTTTTAACCTTAACATAGCAAAATATATTATACAATAGTTATCGAGTAAGAATCACAGTTAACAATATTTAGTCCATTAACATTTAGTAAGATTTGAAGAAAATATTTCATCATCTATTTTATCTTTGTGTGTCTAAAGTCTAAGTAACTTATTTTTAATCCTAACTAATGAGAACTATAACCATAACTATCTGTCTTCAACACCTTTAAAGACCACAGAAGGATAATATATAAGCTCTAGAAATGACAGAGACAACTCACTGCCTGGTCACCCGAAGTTCTTTTGTAATCTTCCATCTTCAGCCCATAGGCCATAGTGTGTTTAGTAGACTCTTCAACAACGCAGGAAATTTTAAACTGTCTTTTTGTATTGGCAGTTTGACAGTCACTTTTCTCTGTGTCCTACATACTGTCTCGCAGACTCTTCCATGAAGCAGAAACTCTGTAGCAATGTCCATCTTGAATCAGCAGTCACTTTTCTGTGAGTCCTGCATGTCCAGTTTATACAGCACAAAGTCAAACATTCCAGACAAGAGCAGTATCTTGTCCAAATGGCTAGTCTTGCCGTATTGGAAGTAAACTCCATAATGAGTTTCTTAAATGTCCATCTTCCTTTTTGACGCAGGTGGTGTTACCAGGAGCATTTATGTCTCATTGTCAAGTAAAACCCTAAATCATTTTAAATGCCATATTCTGTAGGTCTTTGAAAGGTTTGAAGAATGCCTATTCATCTCAAATACATCTCTGTATATCTAGAAAACTTAACTAACTTAACTATAATATCTGACTATCATAGGTACTTATCTATAATCTGTACTACATTATACATTACATTTCTAAATAAGCTATACAAACAAGAGGAGAAATATACATATGACAAAATTGACCTTAAATTGTATCAATAAATGAAAATCCATTCCAAAACAAACTATGCATATCTATTAACCACGTTGGGCGCCATTTGTAACGAGTATGGTTTTTCCGCCTGCTGTCCGGTCTTGTCCTGCTACCACGCCACCAGCCCCAAATAACACACAGAGACTCTGTATTTGATACAATACTGTTGGCCTGGTTACTTGTTACTTATCGGCTAGCTCTGCCTTTAATTATTAACCCATTTCTATGTATCTTCACATGGCCTTCTCTTACCGGGGAGGCGGCTGGCGTCCAGCTCTCTCCAGACTCTCCATCTTGGCTCCTCCTTACTACTTCCTATTTCCTCCTTGTCTCCTAGTCCCTCCTATCTTCCTTTCCTATTGGCCAACAGTGCTTTATTATTAACCAGTATGAGAAACATATACAGAATGACCTCACCCATCATCTTGGTATGCCCAATTTTGCAATTTGTCTCTAAACACAAAGGCTCAAAACCAACTCTTGTTCAAATTGAAGGCAACTAAAAGGTTGGCATTTCCTGTCAACAGAGACAAGAAAGGGCACTTTCTGGAGTCTAGGAAAGCCAACCCCATCTCCGAAGCCTACCACATGACCCCAGTGTCTCCCATATTTCCTTCTGTGACAGTGCAGAGGAAGGAACTGCTGAGGGGAAATAATTCTTGAAATACTTACATTACCCATTGGCACTCAACTAAAGGTTACTACATTCGAGAGTATGATGGGTTTACAACCCTTTGAGTCACTCCAGATTTGGTAAACTTAATCAGTCTCGTTAAAAGAAGGTGGGGTGGGGGCTGCACAAAAAAGAAAATCCAGATAATTAACAAACAACTTTCTAAATCTCAGTCCTGCTTCTCTGTGGCAACCAGGGAAAGAGTCACAGGATCT